CCAAAAGATAAAATTTAGATAGAACACAGCCGACCAGCACAGAGGAAAAATCTCTGGATCAAGCAGCTCATTTTGAACTCTGGTAAATATGCATCATAAAACAGCAATCTAGATAGTTTTACTGTCAGAACTTCAAAGAATAAAAAATTTTCAAACTTCTATAGTCATTTAAACCTTATTAAAATTAATAATGAGCCTTCAAAAATCAAATTTACCTTTTAATGTTCCATTTTCATTCTTTCCATCATATGTTTCATCAATAAATTCAATATCATAACCACGTTTATCACCTTGTGGCATTAAATATGATATAGGACCATCTAAACAAAAAGAACATTTTTTTTTCTCTCTCAAGTCTTAAAATACCAAAAGAACATTGTCTCTAACCTTCATACAAACATCCATAAAGTTCTAAACGCATACAAACATATTTGGGTTTTAATGAAGTTACAATCGGTATAATTCGTATTTGTTTAGCAATTAGTGATGGTAAAATATCACGTATAGTTGGTATGTGACTATTTGCATTTCCACTTAAAATCTATGATTAAACAAAACAAAAAATAATAAAAAAATATTTCTTTTATCATAATTGTATATGTATCTTCTCGTCTGGAAAATATGTTTAGTCTCATAACATGTGTCCCGGATTAATCAAGGTCAGAAAAAAAATTAATACTTAAAATTTATGATGATTAATCACGTTCAATGATAAGAAAAATAAACGAATCATTAGTAAAGATTTCCTTTGATCAAATTTTCTTACATATTGTCCTGAAAAATCTTTATATTTAATCCATTTTTGTTGATTTTCACGACGATATTCAATACGAAATGAATCAGCATATTGTTCATTCTATAGATAAAAAAACAAAACAATAATTTACAATAGAAAGAAAAAGATTCTTTTTTTTTTCATACTGGTTGTTGACTAAATCTTCCTTGAAGTTCAATAAGTGTAATAACAGTTAAATTAATTAAATCAATTTGTATATATTCATAGGTTGTTATTGAAATTTGATTTAATGGACACCATCCATTACTTTCACTTCGAATTCTAATTAAATTAAAGAAAATATTTTATTACATGAAAAATCAAAATTTAATTATTATTTCACCTTGCTTTTGATGCTGTTGAATTTATTCCAGCATGACTACTTGATGAAAAAGCTGAATCTAATATTTTACCTGTTTCGATTCCTAACGGAGATCGACAAGTTTCTTTAAAAACAAAAAAAGAAAAGGTTATTAATTCTTTCTTTTTCTTCTTAATTATTTATTCATTACCTAAATCAAATTGTTTAGTACTTGGTAAGATAAGTACTAATATGAATAAACAAATAATGTTCATCGTCACCATTGTCATCTAATCTTGCCCATCACCTGAAACACACGAATAATGTAAGGATTAAAGTAAAAAGAAAGAAAAAAACAGAGCAAAGGGAAATGTGACACCGACTGATCGGAAAAACGACTGTTGTAATTAGAAATTGTATGTACATGATTAAATAGAAAAGAAGGAAGCAATGTTTTTCTTTTCTCTCAACCGTTCAGTGTGTATGTATACGAACGACCTTGCTTTTCTCTCTGATATCGGTTGATCGCGCGCAAATAGATTGAAAATCAGCATGATGCTTTTTTTTTCTGTTTGCTCCCATAATCTCCTTTTCTTCTGTTGTTAGTTCTAATAGAACAAACCGACGAAACTGTTCATCAAACTAATTGGATTGTATTTCAAAAAGAGAGAAAAAAAAGACAGACCGATGCCTAAGGATAGGTAAAAAAAAAAAAAACAACAAATGGAATGAATATTATAAGTGTCAATCATTCAAAACAACTGCTGTCGTCTGAAACGATACCAAAGAATTTTTATACGATATATAAAATATGAAACGTTCGCGTGAGATTTTTTTTTCTTCGTCTTTTTTTTTTTTTCTTTTGTTTTATGAGATAATGATTTATTCTTTAGAATAAAAAGATCGACAAAGGTTATCGGTAATATCTTTTATGATCGGAAATAAGTATAGTGGTCGAAAGACGAAGAAAAAAACCTTTAAGACAGACCTATTGACGTACTTTCGATTCGATTTTCTCTTCTGATTTGATTGATCGACTCGATCGATTGATATTGAATGAACTGAACCTGAGTATATAATGTAGATAATATTTGTATACGCGATGAAGAGAGAGTCTGCTCACTGTTTCGCATGATTAAACCATACTATTATTATTACTATTACTACTTTATGAGAAATGACATAAACGTTCGTTTTCTTTCTCTCTCTATCTCTCTCTCTTCCCTCCCTGCTGTATAGGTATATACATTTTTTTAATTGAATTAGCGATTATCAAGTAAAGCGCGTGTGTTGTGTCATTTCATCGTTTTTCTTTTTCGCAGAACTGATGAGGTCAGCTTTTGAGAAGGACACATCGCCTGTCGACTCGATGTTTTAATCGATGACAGCAGGAATGCCAACTTCGACATAGATCACACAACAATGTTGACGTTTTGTATGCATGTATATACACGTACTATAATTGACTACGATAGGGATCATTATCAAGTGGACTCAAGTAATATACTTCGATGTAAAATGAAAGAGAAAAAGAAAATCAAAAAAAAAGAAAATGGAGAAAATAAATGAACATATTTATATCGAGAAATAGATCAAATTTATTGAAATGACCGACAAAAAAAGTAAAACATGCGATCTAGACACCTATCATTTAGATGCGTTGATTAAAATTAATCATTTTTTAAAATTTATCACGAAAAGAGACAATGGTCAAAAGAAAAATAAAGAAAGTAAAAATACGAAATAGAACTTATAGTTCAATGTTGAACATACAGATGATACATACGGTTGCAATTTTCAGCAAAACAAGCAATCATAGAATAAAAGGTTGATTATACATAGTGAGAGAAACAAGGAAAAACGAACCTAATTTATACGATATCCCGTTTTGAGACTAAGCATTCTTTCATGTACGTTTCTATAGTGTTTTTCTAACATTTTTGTTTTGGATGCTTCACATTCACTTCTCCGTTTCTATTACACGTATATGTTTGTGTATATGTGATAACCTCTATTCTTCTTTTAATGCAAAACAGTAACTATATATATATATATAAATCTTGCTGTTTCTATTGAGTGTTTGTATATATATGTCAAGTCGATGGTTAACGATACTTCAGGTGTATGTCTCGTAATCACTAAATAGACTGTGTCAATTTTGATTGACATATACTTTCCCGCCAGAAGTATTTCTATTTTATTCCGGTTGAATAAACTACTGTTTAATAATCGAGAGATATTACCGCACCCTACTCTTGAAAAATTTACGGAAGCATATAAAAAGAATGGTCAAATGAATGAATGAATGAATGAAGAAACAATCTTAATACGGTTGGTACATACATATATGTATGTGTGCCATCTGCTGATGTGCATGCGTGCCGGTAAAGTTTGTACAAATAACAATTTCTAATCTCTTTCGATGGGAGCCATTTTGACGATTACAACAAAAAAAAAGAAGGAAGAAGAGAGAGAGAGAGAGAGAGAGAGAGAGAGAAAGAGTAAGCAATGAGAGGATTGTTCGAGTCCAATTTCAATTTGGCACGCAATCCTACATATTCTTTCTAAAGTCTAATTCGCCGACCATTGGTCAATAAAGTCTGACACAGGAAATCCAGTTCATTAGATCTCGTTTTTCTTTTTCTATTAACTGAGCAATGATCATATTCATCAACAACTATAAATGTCAGACAGTTGTTTCCTTTTATTTAAAAAAAGAAGAATGTAATTTTTCTTTTTCTTTTTTTGAACTTACTCGTCTGACTACTTGTCAAACACTTACTTACTTGATCCCTTCGAAAAGTTGTAGTTAGTAAACGACAAGCTTATGAAAGAGATTTAAGTGAAAAAGAAAGATATAACATCCATGTTCTTCCAAGCGCATAATGGGAAGAGCGCGACAAAGAGAAGAGAGAGAGAAAAAGCAAAACTCACTTTTCCTTTCCTTTCTTCTCTTCTTTTATTGTAACGGTGCATACAAACACATACACACATGTATTATGATGATGCTTGTATACGAGCCATAATTAGAGACATGAAATCCCAGTGTAATGAAATGAAACGAGCGGAAGAGAAGATCAGATATGTGGAAATGCTGAGGTGTGGATAATTACTTCACCTTCTTTTCTTTAACCAATGTTATACAAACTAAATATAGACACATATAGTAATTACAAAATAAATGCAAACTAGATATTTATGATTAAAAAAAAGAGAATGAAATGCCCCAGGCGGTCAATAACTTTCCTGATTAAGATAAAGAGACAAAATGAAAGTACTGCTAAAGACATATACAATTTCGATTTCCGTTTCAGTTATCTCATTGAAACAATATTTATATTATTACCTTGAACAGTCTATTTCATTCAATCTGTCTATTAAAATATCAGTACAAAGAAAAAAAAGTCCACTCTATTATTTGTTGGTATGTCAAGATTCACTCATCATTCTTACTAAATCAGTTCGATAACCTTGAACTTCACTTAGTAAAAAAACGACACATATATACACAATTGAAATCGAGTGCTACTCAAAATGACTCGCAGTCGATAAAAAAAAAAAAGTAGAAGATCATCATTATCGTCATCATCATGGTATATATATATATACATAGATGTTAGTTTACATCACTTGGCCTTGAAGGACTACGCAAAGTACAATATGGACACGCACTTGTGATTTGAGCACATGCAATGATTTTGTTTGAGCACAAACGATCGAGGGTGTTCCACTCGAAATCAATGTCAAATGATGAAAAAAAAACTCGATGTATATATGTGAATGCATAGACATACATCATTTTCTTTAAATATGACATACTTATTAGGCTTTATCTTAATCTTTAAGAGTTAGAAAATTTCTCTTTTCTTCGTTTTATGTTACTATGACAGATGCTAAAAGAAAATGAAATATTTAAATATATAAATGATTAAAGATTCTATACGAAATGATCTATGTTTATTAATATTATTACCAGCTAATAATGCCGCAAGAATATATTGTAATCAAATTGAATCATCTTCACTATGTCAAGTACAAATGAATGATGATCATATTCAAAAAGGTTTAATTTATACATGTATTAAACAACAACCAATAAAAATAAAAATGTATTGAAATATTTGCATATTTTTATTTTATTTTTTTATTGTTTTTTTAAATATAAATTAGGTTTGAAAATTCAAATATTGATTTGATCAAATCTGATCATAATATTCAAAATAATAATTCATTGATTTCAAAAAAGAAAACATCATTATGTTTATTAAATTCTTTAAAAAATTTATCTATTGATAAAACAAATGATAAAATATCAAGAGATTTAATTAAACAACGTCGTGTAAAAATTAATAAAAAATATCTTTTATCATCATCATCATCTCCAATATCAAATTCAGCTATTTCACCACATACATTTAATTTATGGTATAGTAATAAGAAAAAGAATATTACCAATGGATAAGATTGCGTTATCAAATGATGTAATAGATATTCGATTTGAAATTGAAGAAATGTAATAAGAATTGAACATATTCATATGTCAAATTTATTGAAAATTGTGTCTCTATTTCATAGATACATGAAATACATAGGAGAAGACTTCAACAAGTAGAAAATATTTTCATGACAAAAAAAAAGTTACATCATTACCTTTTTTTTTTGTATGACTATGTTGATTTTTATCATTTTTTTAAATTACAAGGCTCTTTTTTATATTAAATCAAAAGAAAAAAAAATAATATTCAAATTTTTTGTTTAAGTTAAATAAAAAGACATAAAGAATTCAATTCTAAGATGAATTCTTTCTTTCCTTCTTTTGAAATTAATTAAATTACAGTTATCTATATTTAGAATAATTCATTAAATTGAAGGTCTGTTGCCTCGAAGTACTGTTAAATATATTTATTTATGATATTTTAATTATTTGTTGATTATCTATTTAAAGTCAAATGTTTAATTGCGCGTTGTTTGTTCTTTTTTTAGAAAATAAGTTTTAATTACCTTCATAATACAAATTGAACGTATATAGTTTAATTAAATTCCAAAGGTTTAAACATGACATAATCTTTAATGATAGTACTTAATGATTTTCTTTTTTCTTTCTAAAACTTTAAGACTAACATAAGATTTGTGAATACTTAAGATATAGTAAAACCAGTCAAGCAGATTTTTTTTTTATCTATCAGATTATCTTCATTAAGGTATCAAATGAAAATTTATCAAGAATATATTCAAGTCAACAGAAGAAAATGGATCATTGAGAATGATTTAGAAACTTTATATAAATATAAATTTCATTATTATCGAAAATGAAAATAGGATTTGTGATGCTATATAAAGCTGTTTGTTCATATGAAGTATTAACCATGATTCAATTGACTAAGATCGAAAGAAAAAAAAATGTTAAAAAGAGACGTATTGCTGTTGAAAATTACAAAAGTTAAGTATCAGATTGAAACTATTTCAAAATTGTGACGAGAGAGATTATATTAACAGTTCAGAGCTATAATGATGTCACATAAACAAATTATAAGTTTTTTCAATAAAATACGAGCTGATGTGGATCAATTATCTGGTCATCCAAATCAACAACTTTTAAAATATTTTGAAAAACAAATTGACTGAATGATATTGATTTCCGGAACGTGTCCACATGTGATATATGAACAAACAATATTTGTGAGGATGGGGACGACAGCTTCAATTGTAGACTTATTTTCTTTTCAAAGGTTATCATAACAGAATGAACAGTTGTATCTATAGAAATCATCCCAACATATGGTCTTTCATCGAATTATTGCAAAATGAAGAAAAAAGGATACCATACACTACGATTCAATAGTCGACTGGTGCAACTAGAAAAAATAATATTCCAATGGCAACTATACAACCAAGAGTGTCCAGAGCTAGAAGCGTTCCTTCCAATTTAGGAGAATTTTTGGGCCATGTCAAACTACATTCTGATACTCTGAATGAAATTTTCTAAGTGGAATTGGATAGTTGCCCTAATGATACGAGATATTTTCCCCCGGTTTTCTATATTCGATGACTAGCGCACCCTACACATTTCTCAGATAACTAGAATCCATCAGGTTCAAAATTTTCGGACCCGGTCCGATCTGAGACCAACTCGATCCCTACTTCTCTCTCTTCAAATCTTGATGACCTCTATATAAACGATCGGATCTTGTTCTTGGTTTATCCTATGCAGTTAGGAAAAGAACCAAAATAAAAATACATCCATGTAATAATAGTTGATTTTTTCATTTATTCGTATTGTTTTACAATTCAACGTTATTTCTTATTCGTTGAAAAAATTTTTTCTCTAAATTACGGATGTTATATTTTTAATATCAAATACAAAAAGTCTTTATTAATAATAATACAACAATATCTTTTTTTTTTTCTATTATATTTTCATACATTGTCTTTTTGACATTTTTATTTTCTAATCAAATTCACGTATGCCCTAATTGTTTCATCTATAAATTGAATCATCTAGATCTTTTTTTCATCTCAATCATATTTCTTTTTCTCTGTATTAGTTCAATTTTTCTTGTCAAAAATCTTCCCAAGTTTCTTTTAAAACTTCACAATCAAGTGATATCTTTTTAAACATAGATAAACAAGCATCCCATTCTCAGAAATCGACGATGGAGAAAAAAAAGACAATTAATATACTCATAATCTTAATTAATATAAAAAATGGACTTTCAGTCAAGAACAAAAATCATGCACATGAATACAATACTTATTCTTTATGAATCTATCAAAAAAAAATTGGTCATTATCCCTGAGAATGAACAATAACCATTAGATAGCACCGATAATCAATGACAAAGAAAAAGAAAAGAAAAGAGACAACTGATTGCATCATTTTCAGATGAGAAACAACAACAACAAAAAGAAAACAAAAGAACAGATATTAACCAAGACATAGATCACATTTTGCTTTTAAATCTTCTATTGTTTGTAAAACTCCAATCGTACGTTTTTCATCTTCACTTATAGATATTGTTGATGTTGATGTCATTTGATCAAGTAAAATCTGTGCTTCAATTATTGTTCGACGAGCATCATCAAATTTTCGGCAATTAAATAATGTTTGTGCATATTTACGTAGTACATCAACAAGAAGTATTGTTGTTGATGAACATGATGTTGACAAATTCATTTTTAATATGGATATACATTTATTTAAATACATGCATGTATATTCAAATTGATTACGATCATTATATATTGAAGCAACTACAAAAAAGAAACAAAAGTAATAATAATAATTTTCTTTTTTTTTGTGTGATTAATTTATAATTTTTCTTACTATATTCATAAAGATTTACAGTATCTAAATTAATTTCACGTAATATTTGTTCATAAAGTCGTATGGAATCATTAAGTAATTTAAAACTTTGTTCCCATGATGAATGATTATGTGTATATGATGAAAGACCTTGTGAAAATATACGCTTTGCTTCAAGTAATTTATCAGATGTTGTTAAATAGAAACGTGTTATGTCATTTGTTTGTTGACTATCATGAACAATTAATGATTGTGATTGAGATTGATCAGTTGAATTACTCATTGTTGTTGTTGTTGTTGTTTTAGGATTATGTAATTTACGTGTTGCAGATGTCTTCGTTTTGCGACATGAAAACAAAAAAGAAAAATACACAAATAAATGATATTAGAAAAAGAAGAAGTATTTAATAAGTTAATTTATTAGTTCAAACTTAATTTTAGTATTGAAATTCAATGAATACAACGTGTTTAAGAATACAAATAATGTTATTTTATTTTTTTCATTTTCAAAATGAACTTAATTAAAACAAAGAAGGTGAAAAAGTTTGAGATATAATGAGAATGACATATCTCAAATAATGTTATACTTTAATGAGTGCATCATTAATATCGAAAGATAAATAAGATTATCATAAAAAACATAGTGTTCAACTCAAGCAATGGTTAGTCTTGTATGCAACAAAGTATATAAAATTTAAGTTAATCGAAACTTAACAGAGTTCAATGAGCATCATTATACTTTGTTAAACCTACTAGATTTTCAAAAATATATATTCAATTAGATCTACGTTGAATTATATAAAAGTTAATGGAGAACTAAAAGATACTTTTTCCATTGCAAATAATTTTGTCTTATATAGCATTAGATATCCGAAGTTTTTCTACTTTCAATTGTTGTAAACCGTAGGTTACTGGCTATTGCCGTTATCGACCTATTGAATTTACACTCGCTCACTTTTAACTCTGGAGTAGATGTTAGCTGTGTATTTTCAAATATTCATAACTCTCTAAAGTTCTCGAGGATTTTACATAGTTCTGCTGTATATCATAGGTGTTCCGAGACAATCAGCATTGGGAGAGAGAGGATCGATAACTCCAAAGATCGATTGGAAAATTCTGCTAAAGTTAATTAGATTTGAGAGTGTTAGGAATTCTTTGGCAATCGATGATCAACAAAAAAACCATAAAATGTTGCAACTCCGGTGGAACTAAACAAAAGTTGCTCGAAATTGAAAAGTCATCTCCTTGACTCTCTCCTGCTCGGGACATCGCTGTCTGTTGATATATAAACTTTTGTGTTGCGTAATAGCACTGTAATACCGACTTGATAAGAAGAAGATAAAACATCATTATAGACTATTCAATGAGTTCTAAATATCTTTGAGCTGTAAAATATAGAAGTTTCGTATTAGAATTAGCATTGGCATTAATTAATAGTAATACTAATGCTTTAGGAATTAATGTTAAAATTAACCTTAATGTCCTTCTGGTATTATTTTTATTGCAAGTAATTAATCCGACGTTGTTGCATCAAACTAGCGTTATTTTAAATTCTAATGTATAGATTACTGACGACTAGATCTCAAACACTTAGTTTAGAAGTTTCTAAAAGCGAACAACTTTGTTTCTGTTTTAGGGATGATAGTTTTAACTATAAAAAAAAAAACTTTGTTCTATTTTTAGAATATCACTTCCGGGTATAGAAAACCTTTTGTTCTGTTATCAAAAAATTTTGACCGTAAACTTTCAGAGATATAGTCACAGGTAGCAAATCTATTAGAATTAAAATGAATGCTAACTGTTTGGCATTAATTAATTCTAATGCAAATAATATTAAAGCATTTAATTTAACTTTAATACTAATGCTAATCGACTATGATTATCATTTCATATGAGATATGATTTGTATTTACGCAGCATGTAGAAAACAAGGACTAGACATATTGTATTCATAAGATGTTTGTTACGGAATATGCAATAGAATTTCTTCTTTTTTTTTTTTTTTTTTTCTTTTTGTTTTTTGAAAATGACAATGAGAGTACCAAAGATCGAAGTTCCGATTTGTACCTTCATTTCGGTTTTCATTTATAATTATTCAAATTGAATTCTAAAATAAAAACTTGATTGTTTTTTCTTATTATATTAACTATTGTTTATTT